TATACATTTAATTTTGTTAGAAAAACCTACCGAGTACCGACCCGTCATTATGCCATGTTTAAATGAAGGGAAAGTAAGAGTAAAATATGGAGGAGGGAATACTAGCAAGGAAAACTTTTTAAAATAGTAAATAAAAATGTACTATTTTGAGAAATTTTTCTCATAATATTCTTTTCTTTCTAATTTTCTTTCGATCCAAATAAATTGAATAAGCCCAACTAGTAGTTACAATTAGGACTCAAATGGTGAATAAGAAAAATAACTAGGTGAGAAAATTGATGGGAACAGTTTGCAAAACTGTCATAACTGTTCCTAGTACCCATGTGTGAATGAATGAGAGCCACCAAAGAGAACAAACAGTTTTCTCTCTTGGAACACTGGCCAACTTCCCTTCCTCCGGTGATGCTATAAATACTGTGCAACAACATGAGCACTAATAATTGTGCTTCAGATTAAAGGTACGATTGTTTCCATCCAATGGTTTTAATTCAAATCAGCCGTAGACCATGCATCAGATAAATCCGAAGTTATAAAACTTCTTATTTGAATCAATGGATATTGGCCTTCGGAAACCTTCAGAAACGTCTTTACCATCATGGTACTAGAAGACGATATTTTTGGAAATGGGGTCTATAGAAAGATAAGATTTTGAGACGTGTCAATGTCACCGTACTGTCCTTAAAGTAACATTGTTTGTCCGTTGAGGTTGCTAGCTACATGGTACAAGCAAATTCGTTTCGAGGATTAATTGAATAAAGAAGAAAATGGGAATGTCTAGAATCATGTAAAGGAGAATAATGTAAAGCACAATATGGGCGATAGACGAGGGATTCTGGTTCACAGGTTCAGTCCAAGTGACGCTTAGGATCATTTATTCATTGATTCGATGGTCCCTTGTAATTTAAGTTTGCAAACAGTAAACTAACTAGCTTTTGCATAAACACCTGCAAACCATGCCTTTTTTTTTTTTTTTTTTTTTATATATTTAAATACAATAGATGGCATGAGGTAAATAATAGTAATAATTTTTTTTGAGTGAATAATAGTAATAATTTAACGGTGCTATAGATTTTACCAAACTTGTGTGAGACCGTATAGATTTGTGTAGATAATGTGATTTTCATAGATTCACACACAATTCATATATAAAATATAAAAGTCACAATAAACTATATTATTGATGAGTAATAAATAGAAATATATAATCTCCCTTTTTAAATAAACTTTTGTAAATATTAGCTGAGACTATGTATATTTAATTTGATTCTATAGGAGAGAAGAATATCTCTACTTAGCTTTCTCTACTTGGCTAAAATATGTCTATTAAATTCATTGTTTTATCTATAATTATCAAAGCATACAAGTTATTAAAATTATTGGAGAATTGATTAATAAATAAGAAAAATAAAGCAGGCCAAATAATGATTAATTTATTCCTATACTATACATCATCCAATTATATTGAAAATAGTTTTTTGAATAGTTTTATTGGGAATAGACTACTTAATATATTTTTATCTTTTAATTCTTTCCTAAGTTGGAGAAGAAATTCCGAGATTAAGGGGTTAATGTTCTAACAAAGTCTGGCTTGAGTTCTTTGGATTCTGCCTTTAAATGATTAAATTAGTTAGCTAATTAAGAGCTTGTTTGGTTAACTGATATGATCTCAAATAAGTTCATTTAAATCCAAATAAGTGATTATGAAACATGTTTATCTTGTTTGGGTAATTTTTATAAAATTATGATAAATCGTGATTTTAACTTTCTACCGTATTTTTAGGATAAATAACAAGAAATAGCTTGTGCATTTGAAAAATCATAATCAATTTTCAGCAACGAAAATTTTTCTAATCTACCTTTTAATCAAGCATCCTCTACACTCATTCTAATGGTAATTATTTTAATTTTTTTTTTAAAATCATACAACATGAAACTGTTTTTCTATTAATTTTATCTAAAAGACATTTTAAAAAAAATCAGACAAAACTTAAATGGATAACAATGCAATGCAAATATTTAGACAATATTCTGATTCGAGGAGTATCGTTAAATTAAGAATATAAAAATGATGTCAGAAAAGGTTTGGGAGGTTCTAGAGTGATATTGACCAATAAATTTTCAGCTTATTTTTATATTTATTATTATTTCTATATATTTTGCTTAATTTTTCAACCTAAACCACTTCAAATTTTTCTTAAGAGGCTGTTGTCTCGTCTTCTCAGATCACTCAAGCAATCAAAAATATATATAATAAAATTTATTATTAAATATAATAATTATGAAAATGTAAACAACTTTATTATAATATTTTGATAACTGTTTTTTCACTTTTTATCCTATTCAATGTACACTTCTGAATCGTGTAGGTTATATTTATTTATTTTATATATTTTTATTAATTAATATTATAACAATATTGTTATAATATATTAAAGGAAAAATCAATCTTTTAGTCATTTAATTTTTAACTCAATTATAACTCAATCCCTCAAGACTTGGTATAACTCAATTTTATATTATTATCTTTTTTATCTTCTGACTCATCCTACCTGTCAAAAACAATAAATATAACTATACAAGTCGGCACCAGGTGGGGTCAAGATGTTTCCCTTAGATTCACTCCTCTGCCGAAGAGAAAGAATCAGACCTCGCCGCGGTGGTTCTCAGAAGTGTAGCTGATGATATAGATTCGAGTCCGATGATAAGGCTATAGATTCATTATTTCCCTTTTTTCCAGTCCATAAAAAAGACTACATGTTAGTATCACAAGTTACTCATATTACTTGAAAGGAAAATAAAATTAAGGATGATTGTGTTATATGATATTCATTTCTAAGCGCACTTGTTTTATAAAGGCGAAATTTTAAGTCAGGTTTAATCTGCTGTGAAAGAAAATGGTTAATAACTGAAGGCAAACGCAAATGCTGTTTATCTTTCTTTCTGCTTTCTCTCTTTCTTTCAGCATTTCCCAGAAGCCTTTTGCTTTCTTTTCTCATCATCCCATGGCGAGGTGATTGACATTTTCAAGGACGCATTTGCTACCCTTGTCATCGGACTCAAATATATATCCTTGAACTGCTATGGTGAACAATGGTTGGTACTGGGAAAATGGGATGCTAGGACGGTGTTTGCTCATAATACTAAGCAACAGTATTTCTTGGGTTTTCTGAAAATGCTAGAATTAGACAGGATATGATGACGTACATCATGAGAAGCCATGTGTTGAAACTGCTTCTGCGTGCTACACATCTGAGAACCACGGCGGTGCGGCCTGGGTCTTTCTTATCGGTGGAGGAGTCTCCTCTTATGCATTGTGCTGTCTCTCTTCTGTCATCGCCGCTCAAATATCCATCGCCGACAATAACGCTCAGATCGGGAGGAGAGAATCCGATTGGAGATGTTGAGGGAAGCTATTTTGACCCACCTGTGCTGACTTGGCCAGTTACGTTAATCGTTTTGGACAAGTAGGATGAGTCAGAAGATAAAAAGGATAATAATATAAAATAATAAAAAGATTAAGGATTATTGAAGGGATGAGTTGAAGGATGGAGTTATAATTGAGTTAAGAGTTAAAAGATTAGAAGATTAATTTTTTCTATATTAAATTTCAACTATTAAATGTTGATTTAATAAATAACAGCGGCCATGAGTGGAGAGGAAATGGAGAGGACCCATTGGATGCAATCTCATATGGGCCTGGCACATTTAGTAATTTATATATTTTCTCATATTGGACTCTTGGGCGTGCAAAAACACAAGGAATCTCACCTATCATAAAAATGATAGTCTGTTCCTACTTCAAAGTAACCTTAAGATTCCGTTCCACAGTTTGCCCAAGATGCAAGAATAAAAATAAAGAAGAATTACTATGAAGTCTTAAAAATTAAACATAATTACTAAAAAATTTCAGTGACACCAGAGTATTATGTAATGATAAGTTTCAGAACTTTATAATTATTTCTATTTTTGGGATCTCCTTATAATTCTCCCTAAAAATATAAGTGGGAAATGAGAAATAGGAATTAAAATGAGTATTGGTCCTAATTCTAACAAAATGGAAAATATGCCAAAGGACTAAACACAACAACAGAAAAAATAAATAAAATAGGGAAGCCAACAAAAAAAAAATCGGAGCTAGGTGGAAAACTTAAAAGCCTTGTATTGATTGATACTTGATGGCGGTTCATCCTTCACGTGACAGATCTTTCTTTTATTTATACACAAGCTAAGGCGACTCACTCTATGGCAAATAATTTAAAGATGGAACTAATTAAAGATGAAAATCAACGACAGAAAAATTTAAGTACTAAAGTTTTATGACAAAAATTACTAATAAAATTAGCAATAAAAAATTTTGTGACAAAAATTAGGGACAAAATTAAGGATAGAAATTAGAGATAGAAAAATTTTGTAACTAATAAATTTATTGGAATTACAGATTAACTACGGAATGGAATCTCACAATTAATCCATTGCTAATTTAGCGACGAAATTTTGGTCTGTAATTGGTTAAAAATTAATAATGAAATAATTTTATGTGACTAATTTCATCGGTACTAAGTTATTTTTCTAGCGATCATGAATAGAGTATGAATTTAGTGGCATTAACTTGTTTTCCTTTGAAAAAGATTCAGAATCATTATTAAATATAATATTTGAAGGCTTTTAATTTGGTTTGGGTCTTAACATCAAAAATTGCAATTTTGGGACAAGCAATATATATAACAACAAACTTCATTTGTTCCATACAACATTTGACCTAGCAAAAACAAAATTCATCTGTTACTGTCCGTAATATTAGTGCGAATATATAGAGATCATAAAACGAGAACAAAATATTGGTGTGTGGAAGTCACTTGTCGCCACTAAAAGTTGAAATTTCAGCAATAACCTCAATTGTTATTGCAGAAAGCCAAGTTTTAGCTGTGACTTTAATTTTTAGCATAGCTATTGGATAAGATTTTTTTTAAAAATTTTTTGCCCCATACATATAGTGACGTTTATTCTCCCCATTGGACCAAAATTGTCATACAAATGAGACCCATGAGCAGTGCAGAAGTAGCCCCAAGTTGTAGCCTAAGACTGGTTAGCATTTTAGAGCTGAAGATGAAGTCAGTGGCAAGAAGATCAACGAGGGCCATGAAAATGAGGATGCCTGCTGAAGCTGACAATAGAACTCCTTCAACTATTATTGCCGTTTGGCTATTCCCATTGTACGCATTTGATATTCCCACTCCAATGCCTATTCCCATTGGGATTGTTAGGCAAAATAATAGCACCATGACAACAATTGTTTGGCATTTAAATTTCGCCTGATAAAAGCCAAACAAAGAAAATGTAGGGCAGCGAGTGAAAAGGAGTCACTCATGGGAGCCCATTATATTATTAGAAAGTTGTTAAGATATATAGGCTGTTAAATTGATGATATAATCTATATATAAATACTCTTCTGGTACTAAATCTAACATTCAATTAACTAATTTGAGTGGATTATGTAGATTAAATATGTTAGTTAAATTAGTAATAAATTAATCATCTTCCTTAGTTCCTTCCTTTCTTTTCCTACTTGATTATTGTTAAGGGAATATCAATAGATAATTTTAAAAAAAATTGATAAACATGCAAAATAAATTTTATATATAAGATCAACATATCAACTCTCAAATTAGGTTATATATTAAGGAATCACCAAAGGAGTACTAAATAGGAAAAATTGCTGAACATTTTTTTTTTTTTTGGTGAACATTGCTGAACATTTCTTATTGCAAAATTTGTTACCCAAAAGGATGGCCAAAATGATGCACCTAGATAAACATCATCACCTCTACCAATGGAGATTCCAACTTTGATCCACTAGAGCCAACCCTTATTGGTAGTTGAAAGACTTGTTTTGACCTTAAATGTAAGATCTTAATTTACTGTATGTCTAAAATTTATAATTTGTTTTCTGACTATCTCTGTTGATTGCATATATTAAAAAGGTTTTCAATCAATAGTAGAGGTAATGTCCCATATAAATGATAAAATGTGGTATTTTAGGGTAACTAACACGCATTTTTACAAATAAATTATTTAATTTTTTTAATATTTGTAAATAAGTTACCTAACTCATACATTTAGGATCAAAAGAAATAATAAATTATTAAAAAAATTTAACATATGAGCGCTGCTGAACTGATGATATAATCAATATATATATAAATACAAATAATTGCCAGCAACAAGAATGAAATGTTAGATAAGATGATGAAGAAGATCAAGAATCTTCGTGCGTGAGGCACTTCACCAGCTAGGACAAAGTTTAGAAACTATGAATAGTTTGTCTCAGCTTTCATATGTCTAGAGTATTAATTTATAATAAGTGATTTATTATTTACACTAGGGTTTAAACATAAAAATTATATTAGATTAAAAAACCAAGTAAAATGAGGAGAACAAAATAATAATAGAAGCCTTAATACCTGAGCAATGCAGCCACCAAGTCCCATGCCTTCAAAACATTGATGGAAGCTAAGTGCTGCAACCAGAGGTTTGATGGTGTTGGGACTTTTGGAGGCACCAAGAGATATGCCAATGATCGCTGAGTGAACCACAATTCCCAGCTCCAAAATCTGTATTAATTAATTGATAGTTAACTAATTAATGGTTTCCACCATTCACAATTTTAATTTAATTTAATTTAATTTAATTTAATTTACATGATAACATCAAAGTTAACGTCATATTTGTCAATTTGTCCCTACAAAGTCGGATTTCTCTGCTGTCCCTTTTTTAGAGTCATTGTGGAGTTTGAATGAGAGAGAGAGAGAGAGTATATGAGAATATGAAATAGAAAGTATAAGTGAGAAAAAATATGATGGCAGAAAAATAAAGTGAGGAACAATATATAATATATAGGTTCGCCTGCACATACATTACTTGCTTTTCAAATTTTATATTGACCCCGTTTCTATATATAGGAACTAGCTAAAATAATAGTTTTGATTTTAAATGTAAAATCTTAATATATTTTGTCTCCAAATTTATAATTTTCTTTTAAAACTATCCTCATTATTTACATATTAAAGAGAGATTTTTTTTTATGAACGAGGTAATTTTTAATATAAATGATTGTTAAAGGAGTATTTTAGAGAACTAACAATGTTGATTAATATTTGTAAATCAGTTATCTAACTCCTACATTTAAAAACAAAGAGAGTAAAACAATTTATGATGAAACAAGACACCCTCACATTTTGGTACTAATCCATCATATTTTCAAGAGATAAACCAGTTCTTAATCCATAGCTATATTTCCTTCGTGTTGATTTAGGTCCTTTCTAGCCACGGACCATGTATACATGGGTCAGAAAAGAACAAAATTAACCCAATGGTAGGTTATAAGGCTATTAGTGTGTTTATTTCGATCTATGGTTTGGGTTTTTTTTTTAGATGAGATGTTCTATTCTGTTTATATGTAAATAAAGTAGGCTCCCTTGAAAGAACTATACGGTTAAAAGGAATCTTAATTGATTACATTGTTTTAAACATTAGTAATTATCAATGAGTTGTATTAAAAAAGGTTAAAATACAAATGTGCTCATAAAATTTCTGCTTAAAACTAATACCCTGAAATTTTTTCTTCGTTCAATCTTATTAAAATGCATCAATAATGCCCAATCTCATTAAAATATTATTCCATTTCACCACTTTTAGGACAACAAAAATGATATTGTAGGCAAAAATACTCCTTAGAAGAAATAAATTGATTCATTGATATTACCTGAGAAACCAAGGTATGCCGCAAATTATCCGACGATTCAAATCTGTGTGATCCAAGTTCTTCAGCATCATTTTCATCACTCAAAGGCCGAGCCTTCGTCAATTCACACCTCTTATGATAACCAACAACCAAAGCCTCCATTATCAACGTCACAGTCGCAGCAACCATGGCAATAAACCCAGGAAAAGGAAACTTATCACCCCATGGCTTCTTCTCTGCGATGCAAGGATTATTCTCTAGGGCTTCAAATGCATCAGGAAGAACATGAAGAAACCCAGTGGCCAGAATCACACCAGCCGCAAAGGCTTTTACTATAAAGAACAAGTCACTTTCTGGTTTTAAGTATGACCAGTTTTTCGCAAGTATTGGTAGGCTTATACCCACTGTGCTAGAAGCAAAAGTTGAAGCTATTGCGATCAGTTTGTACTTCGTTGCCTCAGAAGAAGATGCACATTTGTTCTCATCTTCATCTTCTTTGCTGTTATTTTCACAGGCGTGTTGTGATAAGACCAAGTTTGGAAGAAGAAAGATGAAGATTGATAGGCTTATCAGGAATAATTTGCTTGAATTAAATTGTGAGGATGGCATTATGTTGTAGCTGGTGGATAGAGAAAAAAATGATGAGAAGGAAAAAAAAAGGTTTCTGATGAAGCTTGTTTATTAACTGATGATCACGGACCGGTTTAAATTAAGTTCCTGAAACTGAAAAGAGAAAAACAAAGGAAATTGACAAGGACTGCTTACTTGGCTAATGATAAATACAATGCAACTATTGTTATATATGACATAAAGTGGCTTTGTGCAGCTCAATGCGTCACTGTTTAACTTTATTTAAATTATGTCCTTTTGTGATGAGGAATCTGTCTACTTATGGCTCCGCATGCTCTTCTCATGGAATCTTTGAGCAGCCATACTCATTTCAAACGGCAGCGGTTACGAATATTTTTTTTAAAAAAATTAATTTTTATGTTTTTTTTTTCCATTTATTTGGGCTAAGTTATATCCAGTACTCAATCAGAAATATTTTTCAACAACACCAAATATCCTAAAATGATTAATTTTAAGTGTATTCAGCGTCTTGAGCTTTCTGGTCACACCAAGTATTCTAAATTTAATTAATTTTTAGCCCATACAGTATTTTGAAATATTTTTCCAATAGCACTCAGTATCCTAAATGATTAGTAATTTTTAGTGCGTTTAGCATCCTGAAATATTTTTCTAGTATTACTTAATAATTGAAAAAAAATACTCTAGATGCACTGAAAGTTAATTAATTTATGATATTGGGTGTTATTGAAAAAATGCTTTCGAGTGTTATATACAACTTAATCTAAATAAAAAATAAAAAAAGAAAGATCGGCATATCATCCCCTAAATACAGTCATTAGGGGAAGGAGCATTCCCTGCTAATCAATTCAATCTTGGTGAGCAGGCAATACGGATTTGCTTACTTATTATAGAGTAGAGGAAATCAAAAATAAATTGATAAAAAGAGATATCTTTTTTCCCCCCTTCATGTATAGAATCGGGTAAAACTTCATTTTGGTCCATGTTTGGTGAATGAATTTTTCAATTCAGTGTGTCATAACATTATTTTTTAAAAAATTTGATTCATCATGAACAACGTACATTTTGTTTGTTCTTATAGATTAGGCTTCTTAATTTATGTAGTTTCTAGCATATAAATAGTATCTTTTAGTTTAATTCCTTACAAATAAAAACATTATCATTTATGTCTTTCTTCGAATTGCTAAATGTTCATATACGTGAGGTATCATTATTAATAATCATTTTATTTATATATAAAATACTTAATTAATACATCATTATCAAATTGATAAATACTCATATACGAGAAATTTGTACTGAATTTGATTTGTGCTTCTTTGCCGGAAAGTCATATAAAAACGAGGTTGAGGTCCCTTCAATTGCATTAAGGTCGAAGAAGCCGAGGAAGAAAACAAAAGGCCTATTTTGGATGCCGTATATACTATATAGGCTTGTTTTAAACAATAATATACTGACAAGATCGGTTACAGTTTATACAAGTGGATCACAATTTTGTTTCAAATTAATACTCCGCTAGTCCTTAATATAAAATCTAATTAACTAATTTGAGTAGATTAAAGATGTCAGTTAAATTGGTTAATATGATATACTTTTTTCAAAACACGCTAAGCATATTCCTTAATTCTCTCACTCCTTTTCCTACTTGATTATTGTTAGTGGAATATCAATATGGTTAATTTGAAAAAAAAATTGATAAACATGTGAAATAGGTTTTATACATAGGATCAATATTAACTCCCTAATTAACTCCTATATTAAGGACCGGAGTAGTAGTTTTGACGTAGGTTTATAAGGGAAAAGACGCTGCTTATGCCTTTATTAATAATGTGACCTCGCCATAATACTCTCAATGCAAATATATAAAGGCATATACACGCGGGATGAAAGCATTGAGATGTAAAGAAAGATGGCTGAACAAGTGGACTTGGTTAGGATCTGGGGCTTCTGACTTTTTTTGTCCTTAGTCCCGTCCTTTGCAATGTCACAATTTCTTGGATATTTTTTTTTCTTTTTTTGATCATTAGTTTCCATAAAAAATATTTGGAAAATCACGACATTATAAAAGGTATTAGAGATTATTAGAGCGAGATACTCCCTCTAGTTGTATTTATGAGTTTCAAATTTGGGAGGGGTGTGGTCTATTTTTTGTAAGTTTTAATTTGGTATTTGTCTTAATGGGATGTTTGGCTTAATCTAAAAGCACTTTTAAAAAGTGTTCAACTTGAAACAAAACTCTTCTTATACACTTATTTTATATATCATAAAATCGCTTTTAAAATTATGGTTTGGTTTCCACTCAAACATTTGATGCATTTTTTCCAATATGGCCCTCAATTATTTATTCTCTCTCCTTGGCCCTTGCCATAATCTTTCTTATCATATTTTCCCATACACTCTTTTTTATCTTTTTTCTCATTTATTATAAAGTTATATTTGAAAACAAAAACATATTTCTAGCATATTTATTACTTTGAACTAATTGTTTGTTATTTGTGAATTGATTATTTGAAACTTATAGTACCCTTGAGGCCCCAAACTCACTCGGCTACCATCTTCTCTAAAGCGTTAACTTTTCTTCATTGATTGATTGGTAATTAAGAACCTCATTTCTCTCAACACAACCTCCATTAATCCATCATGTCTTCCTCTTCTTCTCACTTTCATTTCTGATAGGTCTTGGGAAAAAAAAATGAGAGAGATTTGTGTGGTGGTGGGTACCTGTTGATGGTTGATCACGTTTGATTGTCTTTCCTCTATAGGGCTTGGATAAATTGGTGGCCGTGTGTTGGCTTTGTGCGTTCATGATAATGGGTCGAGTACTAGCATGTGTAGGATTAAAGGGGGTTGCAAAATGACTAAAGTGTAAAGGAAGGGGCTTTGTGATGTTTTGGAAAAGGCGGAGGCTTTACACATGGGTGAAAGCATGACCATGGGGAAATCTATGTTAAACTTGGAAAAAAAGTAGAGGCTTTATGAAAATTTAGCAGCTATATATGGTAAATTTTGTTAAGTAGATATGAGTTGTAAATTGCACTAGACATGATGTTGTTGTTAACAATTGTGGATTGAGTTGAAACATTTGTTTAGGTAACATGTTTTTCAAAATGACCAATGTATATGCTGAATTTTGTAAGTTTTAGTGTTCGAGACATGATGCTAACAAGTGTGAATTGAGTTGGAAGTTTTTTTTAAGTTGAAGTGACATGTTATAAAAAAAATGACCAGTATAAATGCTGAATTTTCTATATTTGAGTAGTAAATTGCATAGTGGTGGAAGCTGTGACGCATTGAACATTGGTTGTCACATGTGCACCATATTGCCAGCACTTCATTAAAATATGTGTATCGCGATTTTCATATTAGTATGGGGAGAACTAGTGAAGAATGTGAATGGGAAATACATAGTAAGTGGAGGGGACAAAAGGGTGTATCAGAAAAAAGGGGGGATGTGAAAAGGAAAAGTTATAAAGGAAGGCACGACACTGCAAGAATTACATTGAAACCCCACCATAAGATCATGCATTGGAGATTAGACAAATCTGTTGCACTACTAGAAAAAACTCTTTTTAAATTGTCTTATTTACACTGTTCATTACGGCGACGGTGTAAAAGTGTAATTGATAGATTTTTTGTAAATATTGATACAAATTTTGTACTGGTTTCTTATATGTCGGTGTAAACTACACTAGACTTTTATGCAACCAATATAGCAGTTAATAATAGTCTTTTGAAAGTACTCTTCACACCGATTACTTTAACAACTAGAGACATCTAACAAGTTTAGCAACTGAAGAGACGACCCCTCAATTTTGTTTCTGTTCAATCGTTTCAGTTTTTGCAAGTCTGAAGTTCAAAAGTCATGTCCATTCATCACATTAGATGGAGGAAAGGGAGAACACTACCGATGTGTCCTCCCTTTCCTCCACCTCCTCTCCTCTAGATGAGGTACTCTATAAAGTAGTAAACATATAACGCCACACCCGAAGGATCGTCGCGTTTGTGCACACACTCAACAACAAAATGAATAGGATACTCAACAAGCAAGACTTCGAGTACGACCTTATGGACAATCCCCTCCCTCCTCCAGCTCCGATTCCTTTGATTCCTCAAAGGAAGAGGAATACTAATAGGGAGGGTTTTTTTTTTTTTTTTTGGTTATTGTGTAATCTTTTTTTTTTTTTCAAGTCTGCAGTGTGCTCCGCTCGCACCTGCTAGGTTAATGAAAAAAATATTTGGTATATATCTTGTACTCCCTCCGTTCCTTATTATAAGAGACATTTGATGCTTATGGTATGTTCCTATATATAAGAGACACTTACAAGTTGTCTCTACTTTTTTGTGTTGATTTACTATTTTACCCATATTTATTATCTCCAACTCACACTCTCTCTCCCTCCCACTTCTCTTTCTTTTAATAATTTAATTGTTCTCTCTCCTTATTAATGAGGGCATTTTTGGGAAAAAATTATACTTTTTACACATTAATTGTTTTTAACTAATTTTAACTGTTTTTTTGATCAACGTACTTCGGTTATTTGTCTCTTATAATAAGAAACAGAGGGAGTATTCAAGCAAAAAAGAAGATTAATATGCCATTAAAGCTAAGCAAAACCCTAAAATAAACACTGAAAAAATAACCAATCAAACCCAGGAAAGAAAGATGGTATCTAATTAAAATGTTGGGAAAATTGCAATTAGGTCCCGTCTAAGAGAATTAAATACAAAAAGGTTCTTTGAAATCATAAAATTATTCTGAAGTCCCAAGAGACCTTTTTGCAATAAATTTTATGTTTAATTACCAAATTACCTTTTTTTTTAAAGTTTGTATTAACAATTGAAAGAAGAGTGGTTGACCACAACAGAACTACTTGGGATTACCACTGGACTTCAAATCTCTAAACAAGGTTTTGACAAAGTGTTGGCCTATACCAACTCACTTGAGGCTATCCACCTACTCATGATAGAAAGTGGAGGACACCATCCTTTTAGAACATAGATATATCACAGAAGGAAGGAGGCTGATATTCTCTGATTGGGAAATTGAACTTAGATATGCACCTAGAGAGTCCATATAGTGTGTAGATTTTCTGGCAAGAGAAGCACATCATAGCGTGGAGGACATGAAGATTTTAAACAAACCCCATCTTGGATGTTTTGATCGCCTACGCTTAGACAGGGTCTAAATGTAGTTGTTGTGCTGTACTAATTTATCTTTAGCAAGTTCATCTTGCCCCTTTGAGGGGGGAAAAAAAAGAAAGAGCAGTGGTTAACACCTTAAGATGTAAAAATTGACAACTATTATGGCTGGTTTGACAACACATTTTCTCAGCATATCACAAAATGTAACACATAAGTTGTCCAATTAGCCACGATAGTTGTTAATCCTTGCACCCTAAGTTGTCAACCATTATTCTTTCAGTTGTCAATGCAAACTTTAAAGAAAAAAAGAAGGGTAATTTGGTAATTAAACAAATAAAATTTATTGTAAAAAAATCTCTTGGAACTTCAGAATAATTTCATGATTTCAAGAGATATTTTTGTATTCAATTCCTTTGGGTGGGACCTAATTGCAATTCTCCCTACAGTGTTTACGCCAATTATAGGTATAACCTATATTTAAAGTAGTAAAATTAAAAAAAATTAAAATAATGTTTGAATACATCGGTTAGGGTTTCAATCAATGCATTGATCTACCATGAAACCTAAGTAAACCCTAGAATAAATGAAAATTTAATAAATTAATTTGGAAAAGCTTTTACACTAGTTATAGTTGCAATTGATGTATCAAGCAGTAAAATTTAAAAAAAAATAAAATAATGTTTGAATATATGTTACCCCTGTTGTTTTGTAGGCCACGGTAAAATGTTATCGTTAGATCAGCTTTTTATAAAACCAGGGTCAAGAATTAGCCTTAGATAATAAACTCACGGCTCAAATCACTGTCTCACTTTCAGATGGGTCATCGCCCTTATATCCTGTTCTCTTGCTCCTTGTGCTATTGATGAGCCATAATCACCCTCTTTATCTGTGCTCTCTTTTTCGCTTGCACCATTGTCGTCCTTTTCAAGCAGTGTTGTTCTTTTTCATGGCATCTCTCATTCTCTCACTGGGCTCAAAAGCCTCCCTAACTTGGTATAATCCTACCCTTATCTTCTTCAAGCTGTGAGTTATGATGTTGTATTCAAGAGATTAAACTTACATTTGAGTTTAGAATCACACTTTGAATACGAAATTCATTATTTCAGCTGTGCTACCTCTATTTTTGATTAATTCGATTATTGTGATCCTATTAGCTAAGGTTTTGTTAGGTGTGTGTTGTGAAAATTTGCTATTGCTGCTACTTCGGATGTTTGCTGAATTTTGGGGCACTTTGCATGCTCTTGAGAAGAGGTGGTAATAACGGGTCTGTTTCATAGTTTGCAAAACTATTTTTTTTTTTGTTACAAGAGAGAGGGCTAAGCCCACTAAACAAAAGACTAACCAAGTTTGCAAAACTATTTTAATGCAGGTCTATTTGGCTCGAATGCACTTGCATTACTCAAGCCCATGGTGGGTTAGCTCGCTAACAACTGTGGGCTAACCTGCTACCGAGGCGGGCAAAATAAGAGTAAAGGTGCAGCTTTTCTCCCTCTAAAATTTCCAACCAAAGGAAGGAACATCTCCCCTTCCCTCCTTTGTCCAATGTGTCCCTTCCAACCAAATACACCGTTCCAATTAAGAATGGAAATAGATCGGGTCAGAATTTATCCAAATAGGCCTGAGCCTATATAATTAGAGTATAAAGGCCGAGCCTCTATACATGCAAATTTTTTAGCCTCAGGTTTTGAAGCCTTTTTAAAGACTTACTTACAATGTAAGACTTTAAAAAGAATGCATGTTTTAAGCTTTGAAGGCTCTAAATAGGCTTTGAGCCTACTAAAGCCTGTATAAATAGAGGCTTTTGGTACACTTAGAAGTCTGCATATTTTAATATATATGTTAATAAAATAAATTTTAAAAAATCGATCAAATCAAGCCTTCAGGCTTCCCCTCTCCTACCTCTCCTTTAGAAGTGGTAAAACAGGTTGACCCACTACGGGCTCGAAACCATATGAGTTGGTCCTAAAAGGATTACTTCTTGGCAGACTCACATTTTGTCAGCTCATCCCGCCAAAGGGGCCACCCCTTTTTTAAATTTTTTTAAACATATATTTAATTTTTAAAAAATTAAATTATAAAGTTTTATAGATCAAATTCTTCTTATTTTTATATTTTTATATAATTAAATTAGTATCAACACTTGAAATATAAACAGATAATTCATTGTTAATAGTCATTTTATTAGTATAAAAATAGTAAAACAATAAAGAAAATGAGAAATCAAATTTAGAATCAAGGTCTCTAACAAAATACAAAGTTATATGTAAATTAAGTGAAAGTGATAAAATTTTTTTCCTATTAAAATTAAAATAAAAATTGTGAAAAGGTTTTTGAAAAAAATAAAAAAGTGGCTGGCGGGCTAGCTCGTGGTGGGTTATGGGTTGGTAGGTGTGGGCTGAAAAGGACTACATCAAACAAGGGTTGGTCCAAGTGATAAGCAGTTTGATACAGCTTAAGCGAGGTCTCAAGTTCGAGCCTCAACATATGCAGAAATCCCCGTTGGGAGACTTACCCACCACAGCCAGGTGCGCGACGCGGGTCGGATTCAGATATAGTTGGAGCAAAGCTCCGGTGAACTGGATGGGCAACCTAAAAAAAAAAAAATAGTTTCTATTTTTTTCAACCCAACTCGTCATCTTATGGGGGGTTGGCAGGCTCAACCCTTATTATCGGCTATACTCTCCTTTGCCTCAAAACGTGCCATTTCATCTCATGATTTTAGAGCCCATCCCGTTGCTCAATCCAGACAACCTCACTTTTAACCTTCTAAGGATCTGTTTGGCAGAGTCCTTTGGGATGAAAAAGCCACGATTTAGAATCCAAAAGCATGTTAATTGGTCAGCTCCTTGTTTGGTTGAGTGGTAGCTTAAGCCGAAAGCTAATTTTAACTTGTAAAAGTCATAAGCTATTTTGAGTTGCTTATAAAGAAAAATTGCTTTTTAAGCATGGAGAGGAGAGAAAAAGACCATGAAAAAGAGAGAGAGAGAAGTTCATGGGTCCCCACTTACTTTAATTAAAAAAAAGATAAAATTACTCTACCAAATATATTACTCTATTCTTATCTATAAGTCATTTGTGCTCTAAATTGACAAATAAAAAAATACATTAAATTGATAATTTTTTCTTTTATATTTGTCTTTATTAAAGAAAGGATATTAAAAATACGTTTTATATTTTATCTCACCAATTTACTTTATTTTTCTCTCTGCATTTATTAAGTTAAGAGGGATAAAATTGAAAAAAAGCTTATTAATTATATTGCAAATGACTTCTTGTAACTAAGAACAAACTTTTTTCTCTACAAGTGATTTATAAATAGAAACAGAGTGATAACTTGTTGATTGAAAAACTATTCTGAGAAGAAAAATTATATTATGTAAATTGAGAATTTTTCATTTTACATTATGTAATAAAAGTTTCACCCATTTTGGCAATTTTACAAAATAAATTTGCTTATTCAATCATAATTCAAATGATTTTTATTTTTACCCAATCTAACTTTTTTAAAAATTAATTTAAATAAAAATTATATTATCCAATCTAAATTTCATCCTGATCTAATTTTTTTAAAAAATTAAATTAAAAAAAGTTATACTTTTCTACCGTGCAATCCAAACGGACACCAAGTTATTTTATACTTTTCCAGCTGCCCTTCTTTCTCCCAAACCACGCCGTTTTTGCTGCGTAAAATAAAATCTCAGCCGTCCATGTTTTTCTAATCGAAGCCGTTGGTTTTGAGGGAAGAACAGTTCCTCTCTCGCGGATTGAGGGGAAGAACATATTCTCTGACATCGGCATCCTTCTCTCTGATGGATTGAATAGGGTATTCCTCGCTCGCCGATCGAATTAAAATGCTACTTTTCTCGCGTGACACAGCTCAATAGCTGATTGTTATACAATGGAAGTTTTCTGTCATCGCCAATTGCAAGAGCTTGCCTGGCTTTAGTAACTATTGTGATGATTTTACTTGAGCATGTCAAACATGAGAGATTATATTAATCCAACATGATGGAAGTTTAGAAGTAGGAGTTGGGATTTAAATTATCCATGGATCCCTTTTTTTCTTGTTTTCCAGATTATCAATATGTGACGTATTGTGACTGATCGTCAAATATATCCTTAGATTATGGGATTCATGAGAGGCTAAGCGTTTCAATCATGAACTTTGAAAGTATAAATGCAAAAACTAAATAAAAATCATGAACTTTGAAGGTTATCAAGTTAGATTTCTGGGTATTTGATAAAAGATTGTTATTTTACTCGTCAGTATTTGATATTCAGTGCCACAGATCTTCCTTTTCTGTTCCTTTTCTTTGAAACCTTTTCCCACTAGCTGCTCTGTTTTCCCGCGCCGGTGGAGGAAGAAGAAAGGGGCGATGCGCGGGACAGAGAAGAATGATGGGCTGCCGGGGAAAGTTGAGAAATTAATAAGAAATTACAAGGACGGCTGAGATTGAGTTACAGGTTGTACGGTTCAGATACAATATTGGAAACGACGCCGTTTAAATTACCAGCCTCCTATCACCGTCATGCTTGTTCTATAACATGCGGCCCAGATTTTGTTATTAAACGACGCCGTTTGAAGGAAAATGGGTGAAATCGTAGACGTCTAGGAGAGAAGCCAGGTCCCGAGTCACCGCTCACCAGCCCCTCCCACGGCGCGTCGCTGCTCGTCCCCCATCCGTCGGTCCGTCCGTCCTCGCCGTCACTAGTCACTCTTCACTCTTCACCTCTACCTTTCCGGCTTCCGCGTTCCGCCTTGCCGCCTTCGACTTCGACGACGGACGACCTGGGCAGCTCGGCCTCCATTTTCATTCTCCACCTCGTCCTCGTCCAGTCGTTCTCCATCTCCAATTCTCCATTGCAGAGTGCAGACCAGCCGAAGCTCTCGGCCTCTCACCCTTTCAGTCTATACCCTTCTCTCTTCACTCTCGTTCCCTTCGGTCAGTTCACATGTAGTCATTCATTTCTTCAACACTCTCCTACTGGTTTTTTTGTTTTGTTGGAAGTTTTATTTGTATTTGACGCCAATTTTAAATTAATATAACCCCATCTTATAAACAGATGACTTGATTCGGAATTTCTGAGTAAGGTACCTGTCAGTCATCACTGAATTTTGTTTCTGTTGGTCTGAGGTTGAAGTGTTGGACATTGTTTAACAGGTAGTTGTACTTGTTCATAGCATTGAATTCACATTGGTCTGTGGCTCTGTGATGGAACATTTAGTTCTTCTGTTGTAGCACTGAATTCTTGTGAACACAATTGGATTCTGAACAAAATCGCTGAATTGGAACTTTCTGGTGCTTGTATAACATTGTCCAATTCATTCTGAATTCTTCTCGAGTTCTGTACTTTATTCTAATTTTGCCAGCTAGCTAATGCTCACTCATGTACAGGGGAAAAATATGAAAAATGAGAAAATAAACTGCCAACCTGCCAACCCACACTGGCGGTTTTTGGTTGGCTGAATATTTCAGCCTCCCGCGCCAGACTCGCACCTTTTGGCGGGACAACTCGCTCGCGTATTACCAGCTTTCCTTTTCAGTGCAATATATCAAGTTAATCTCACTTTAGGACCAAAACTCTTTGCCAAACAAAACCTCATCCTTGGATTAGAGATTCAGAAAGAGTGCAAGCACCCACAGCGGGCAAAAGGTCCAGCCACCGCACTCTCACAGTACTCCAGTCGCTGCAACGCAGCCACAACAAGTGAACGGTGGCAGTGAATGGTGATTGAAGGACGAGCAGGGAGAGTAGTAGTAGAAGAAGAGTAGAGTGAAGAAGATGAAAATAAATTATAAGACAACGCCCAAGTAACCTTGGTTTCAAGTAAGTTCACATTTTCTCTTTTTATGTTATTGTTTGGCCTCTAGACCACTGTCAAGAACAGGATCTGTGTTTGGTTGTTCAATTTAATGTTAAAGTTTGAATATTCAAGCTAGCGTGAATATCATTTTATACCCATAAACTGCTCAGAATATAAGTTGGCTATAACATAGCAGCGAATAACACAATGCTCTGTTTCAAGCTTGAAATGAACGTCATGGCACTGGCGTCCAGTAGTGATGACACAATCTTCATCATCTTTGCTTTCTCCCTGAATGGAAATTCTTAGATCGATCCCTTTAGTACTGTAGAACGCATTGGCTAAAAATTTGTATGCTATTCATTTTCAGAATTTGAAGGAGATGAGGATACTTATCACAGTCCAAAGATTGTTTCCTTCACTACCTCCATTGTAACTTTAAGCCGCTTTTCTCTGCCTTTTGCCTTCTCAAACATGGAAAGAACTTGTGCAGCTTCTGCCATGGAATGGAGCATTCAACTTGAAAAGGGCCTTCGTTCTAAGAAGCCAGGTAAAATAATTGTATTTTCATGGATGCGAACTAACTCCTTGTCTTAACCTCATTTCCAATTTTGTTCTAGTTATTATGTTGCAATTGGATGATCTACTATTCGATCCTTGTTGGCTTTGGTTATTTGATGAGATTCATTGTCCAGGTGGATCTGTTGAAGCCATATTACAGTTTGGGCCTCAACTTCAACAATGGAGCTTGGAGTCTGAATCCAACATCGCTGCCAATAACATATTTGATTTGATGCCAGGTGAAGATAGGCTGTTTGCCAATGCCATCCTCTTGCGGCTAGCTGATGCATTTGCATGTGGTGACAAAGAGACTAGGTTTGCTATTGTCACGGTTTTCTTATCTGAGCTAAAGCACCGTAAAAAGAAGAAGCACAAATGGCATAATGGTTTGCTGTCAAAGGCCAAAGTACCGAACCACTTGGAGTTGTTGAAAAGAGTGAAATCTGTTTGTGACAGTGGTGATGAGGAGTCAAAGGCATTTGCTCTGGTTCTGTTTGGTTGTTGGGCTGATTTTGCTCAAGACAATGCTCCTATACGATACTTAGTGCTTTCCAGTCTCGTTTCTCCTCATGCTTGGTTGGTAAGATAATTTATTTCAACATTTATGCTGTCCTGGATGCCTACTTTTGTGATACCATCTGTCTAATCATATCTTTTGCTTATGTATCAAATCTGACTTATACTGCATATGGCATCTAGCAGTCTGGATATTGTTCCATGAGGGGATTAGTGGGTATGAGAATATGATCATTTGATATGTTCTGTGCTTACTGTCATGTTAAAAGCATATGACAAAATTGCTGTTGTAGATTGGTGTGGCAAACATCACAAAAAGCTTATTTCTTGTTTGATTTACAGGAGTAAACTATGTATTTACATAATTAAGTGATCAGTTCCTAAGCTGTTCTCTCTATTCCGGTTCTAGGCTCTTGATGTGAAATCTTTATTGGGTCCATTTTCATTTGCTTCTATCCCTCTTTAAGCTGCTCATTCTAGAAGAAAATTCATTTGCTTTATTGATTGACTGTCTCAATCTTGTTTACATCTTAATCATTGGATCTGTTTTCTACAGGTGAAAGCATCTTTATTTGCTGCAGGATGCTTTTGTGAAATATCGGATGATTTTGCATCTACCACATTGGAGATGCTGGTTAATATGGTGACTTCATCTGAGGTATCCTTGCCTGTCAAGTTAGATGCTGCTCGAGTTTTTGGAAAATTCAGGTGCTCATATTCAGTTGCAAATAAAGCATACAAGGTCTTTGACTTTTTTATAACTCGTGAGATCTAATACACTTCTGTTTCCTTGGGGTCTCTTCTTTTCCCCAAGTCAGTTGCTTTGTTGTGCAGTTTTTAGGTTCTTTTCCCCCCCTGCTGTCAGGCATGTTGTGACACTATTAGTGTTTGTCTCCATGTGCACATGTCTCTGTCTCTCTGCACTATATATTTTCTTTGGCCAGGGGTGGTGTTGATGGAAGAAAAAAAATTCAGGATCGAACCAAAAATTTATGTGTGTGCAGCTATGTACACACTCATTCACATATTTTCTTTGGCAGGAGTGGTGTTGATGGGAGAAAAAAATTCAGGAACAAACCAACAATTTATGTGTCTACAGCCATGCACACACTCATTTACTAGTAACTGCGTTCCTTAGTCCTTTTATACAATTTTAGGCTGTGTTTTAACTTTAGGATACCTGGTCACTGTTAAAATGCATCTTGAGCTGTTGACAGTTTTATACTTTCTTTTCCGGTGGCTGTGGCCCTTTTTTTCCCAATGATTTCTGTTGGTGGAATATTTCAAATAATATTCCAGCATTTATTTTCTTCTATTAGTCGGATTTATTCCTTGTTTAATAGCCCTTATCTACTCTTTAAATCTTTCCATTTAATAGGCTTTTTGTTTTTTTTTTCCTGGGATTGAATAGCAAGAATGCTGCTATCTCTTCCCTATAAGTCGATGTATTGTTTTCTCTGTAAATACAAAACAGAGTATTCTTCCAAAAGTGTTCAGTGTCATAAGGGTTTTAATATGATTTTTTTCTTTATTGCAGACAGGTCTAGAATTGATATTGGACTCTTTAGATGAAGAATTTTTGGTAGTGATGCTTGTCTCACTCTCAAAACTGGCTTCCGTATCAACACTACTTATCCCTGAACAGGTGATTGCCCTTTTTTAGTCTACTACAATATTTAGATTTTCGTAGTTGAGTTGGCAGGATATACGGCCTACTTTATATGTTCTCTTAACTTGTTTATTCTCATTTTTGTTATTGTTTTTCTGAGCGTACATTCATGATTGCCTCTTTAATCTTTCGACTGGTGGAATTATTTTTTTTTTTTTTTGGGTTTTTGTATCCGCAAATGTTATGTCAATTAAAAAATTGATCGTTTGAGTTTTGTAATTAAATGAAGCATTGTACTACTAGCTTGTCTAAGCAGACTTGTTGCAACCACCTTGTTCTAGAATTTACTTCATTTCCCTTTTATATTGTATTATTTAAATGTCTGGATTCAGGTGGGGCTTCTGCTTTCATTTCTCAGCCAAGAAAGAACTTCCCATATACAAGAAACAGCTTTAAGATGTTTGAAATTCCTGGTGAAAAAAGGACTTTGTGAAAATTCAGTTAATTCAGATCTAATCCGTAGATTACTTCGCATGCTGGAGGAACCTGAAGTGTCTTTATCCATGCACTTTGAAGCTCTACGGGTTTTACGTAAGGTTTGGCTCTTGTACCATGCAAAATAGTGGTTTCATTTTATATCATTGGTTTTGAACTGTTTTGACTTGCATTAGATGATTTGCAGGTACTTGTGTGTATTCCACCTTTACCTTTTACGGAAATCCATGAATTTGTCAAGCTGATTACTGAGGCAGAGAATGCAATACAGCATGCGGATTTGATGAGGGGCCATTTGACCATCCATATTTTGGCAAATTTGTCTTGTAAGTTTGTGGGAGAAACATGTACTGAAAATGATGTCTTTTTCACTTCTTTGGCTTCACGGGTTGTCTCACTAATCAAGGATCAGATGAAGCTTCTGGTTAAGTCATTACTGGAAGCCCATCAAAATTATTCATGGCTGTTTCAGAAACTTGAAACTCTGTTTGATATTCTTCTATCTAGTGTTATAAAGCATCACCATCTGGTTGTCCTGGTACTTGATAACATGACTTCGACAATTGAATTTGTTGTGACTCTCAAAACTACTGGTCAAATGACATCATCGACTCATGTGGCTGTGAATTTTGATTGGGAAGAGAAAACCCATGTAGTATCCAAATTTTTTTGCCAAGTATACAGATTTCTGGTCTCCTTTCTTGAAACTCTCAGAAAAATTGGTGCCATTGATACTGAGGTGATGAGCAGAGTGCAGATTTTGGTTGAATTTCTGTGTCATTGTGGTTTACTTGATTGCTATACATGCACATTGTATTGTCTTCTGTTACATAGTCAACATATTTGGGGTGGCCTGCTTCAGCAGGATAATGGAATACGTTATCATTATAACCTGAGTATCTATCCTCATAGTTGTCCTGTTAACTGTAAAGTTGATACAGTAGAGTTTGTGAACCGCATTTTGACAGACATAGATAATTGGACTGCTTATAGAATTGGAATATATGCAGCATGCCAAGGAGAACTGCTGTTATCTTCTTCCATATTCAGCAAGCTAATTCAGGAGGTCAAATCTAATTCTTGCTGTAACTGGTTAAAAGCACTTTCCCAATACACTCAGTCTGAGAGAGCAATCCAGCTTCTTAATTTACCAACACAGGGAGTCACTTTAGTGGAAGGGTCGGAGAATAATAAATTTCTTTTAAATTCTGGTGACTACATGGATGAGAGGGATCCATGGGATGCTGGGAGTGTCAACGATCATCATTACAGTTACAAGCTACCTGCAGCTTATAGGGCACTTTGCTCTTCCATGGGACTTTTGGAAGCAGCTGTAACAAGTTCTTGGGCATTCAGCTTCCAAAGTTGGTATTTATCATTGAAAGCTAGATTTTTGGAAAATGCGGTGGGCATACTCAAAAATGTGAGACTTGTGTTGAATATAGATTGGGGCAATCAGTTAAATAATGAGGGAGATGTTCTGTGTCGATGTCTGAAGTCTTTTGAAGACATTTCTCAAATTTCGTTTCATTTTTATAGACTTGCAGAGGAATTTGATCTGATTGGAACATCTTTCATTGAGATGGACAGTGAAAGCTCTGCAGTTGTGACAGCACTTTCTCTGAGTTGTTCACTATTGGCATTTGTTTCTGGTTTTGCAGTTATTGTTGTAAAGCAGCTATCTCATGAAAATTTTATGGTTGACAAAGACGCCTGTAACTTCTTACTGGTCTCGGCAATGCAAAATTTAGCAGGGTGTCTGCGGCATATGGATCATGAAACCAACTCAAATTTCTCCTTGCTGTTGAATTTTATTGACTGGCGGCCCACAAACTGTTTTCCCTTGCGGCCTAGACATCAAACTTGTGATGTTGGTTTTGCATATAGAGATTTTCTCAATGTTTGTAGTAATGTGATCTCTGAGGCTGCCTGCTTGGCAAATAAAATAAGCAATACGCACAATGAAACAACTCTGTCCAAAGTTTCCAAGAATTTATCACAACTGATATTAGATACTATAACAAAATGGATTCGTATTCCTCCTCGGATACCCAAGTATTTCTTTAAAGTAAGGTATGGTTTCGCTCTAAACGCGTCTATTAACATAGATGATTTCAAATTATGGAGCATGGGAGATAACTGTTAGTGGTATTTTACGGTTGAGTGAATGACCATGGCTTAGAGCATTATTTTCTCCGTTTTCAATCAATATCTTATATATGGCCATTCTTTGTCTGTGCCAAGAGTCAATCATTTAACTATCACATGTTATGTTGGTCAGAGATTTTAGCTGTTAAATGTTAGGTCTATTTTTGAGGTTTCTCAGCTATATTTTCTTTATCACTTATAGTCATTAACTCTCTCTCTCTGTTATATATCTTCATCTAAATGTTCAAGTTTATCATGTAGTCCCCCTGTTCCTAATTATAAGATCCTCTTTTTTGAATGGATTTGTCTCTTTTTATAAGTCCCTTTTGAGTTTGTCTGAACATTTGATGTATTGTTACCTATTTTACCCCTAATAAATTTCATATATTACATTCTTTCTCTATTTATCTCATTATTACTCTTTACATTATTAGGGGTATATTTGGAAAAAAACTTACTTTTGTTACATATTAATTGTTTTTAACTAATTTTAACTGTTTTCTTAAAAAGCATAATTTGGCCAAAAGGTTCTCATGATTAGGGACGGAGTAGTAGTCTTCCTGAATATAGAGAATTAGTTGAGCGGTCCCCTGGATCAGGTTTAGAAGCTAGAAGGCGGCTTGATGTATATTGATACTTTCTTATTTTCCAAATGTAGTGTGTATGTGAACCTTAGGCTTCTTCTCAGCATTTTGACGTTCCATTTGCATTATTTATCCAGGCAAGTCATTGGATCAGAGCTGTTTGTCCACAGTGAGGACACAAAAAATGGTGCTGGTATATCTGTTTTGCTAGGCTCCAGTCTATCACTTAATCTATGTCTTCAACTGAAAAACTTGCCGCCAAATCTCCATGTTCGGCCAAAAACGTTGTACTGCATCCTCTATTGTCCGGTGTCCTGCCAAGTACCGACACCTTGTGGAGAGGCGGGGGAGCGAATGTCACCGGGATATGAAGCTTGGAAAGATAAAGACATTGTTGAGCTGAACAAGAAATTGTATAGCCGTGTTGCAGATTGTATGGCAAATAAAGGCAGAACAAGTGGCAAGCATGGTAGGGAAGAATATGATGGTAAGAACAACAGGGCTGCAGAAACATTTCTGGAATTTGTGCCTAACCAGAAAGGTCAGGGATTTTCAAGCTGCCTCCTTGATGTATCTGATTTTCCTGTGGGTTCCTATAGAATCAAATCGCATAGCTGTTTGTTGGATGGTACAGGTTCCTACTGGAGCCTCCTCCCTCTGAACATGGGACCTATAATCACTGTACATACATGATTTTTTTTTTTGCACCGACCATACATGAATTTATTGATGGGTAATTATTATTTATCTGTTTCAAACATCTTCTAAAATGCTCAAAAAATTAAAATTATGATGTACCCAACACAGGTATTTGTTTGCATTTTTTTTTTTGGTGTGTTTTGGGGGTGGGGGGGCTCTTGATCATTCAAGAAGTATGGAAGGAAACTTCCTAAAGATAAGATGACCATTTTTGTTGAATAAAGCGGTGTGAGATTTTCCTTGATCCCATCTATTACAGACAGGTCATGACGAATTATTAGTTTATTAAATTATTTATACATTTTCTTGATGCCAAGTGTGATGGAATCTCTTTATGCTGACTCATATCGTGTCTCTAAATAGATTCTTCCTGTGATTAGTTCGAGTATTTAAAATTAGAAGAACCACTGTTCGGCCACGAGAGCTGCGCTATCATTAAAAGCATAGCTTCTAACAAACTACTATTTGTCAATCGTAGGGTGAATTGCAAGAAACAAGAGACAAGGGCAGTAATAAAAATATCATCCGCTCCTTAATACAGGATTTAAGTGTAGATTTGATTTTAGTTATAAATGTAAAATTTATTTTTCATATTTATTAATTTTTTTAAAATTACTCTTCTTAATACTCTCTCAACCACAATTAAAGAAGAGAAGGAAGGAGAATTTAAAGAAAGATAATTATAGTGTTTTAGAAAAAACATTTCATATTTTTTATAATTAATGAACTTATCTAATTTTGTTAACCTAATCAAATTAATTACGTATGTTTTATATTAAGGGCCGTTGTGTATATTTTTAGGAAGAAAGAGACAAAAACATCCCAAATCTACCAATTTCAATTTAGAACTCCGAAAAAGTGTAATCATTTATCATTGTGATTTCATAGGGATTAGTTTGGGATTGAATTTAATAACAAAATTACCTAAATGACTTTAAGTTGATGTCTAGTAACCTGCTATCACTTGTCAATGGTCAGAAATTTCTGTGAAATTGATTGTCATTATCTTAGTTATTGTCGTTTGATACATTAAAGTTGTATGTTGGCAAAAAATTATAATAAATTTTAAAAGAATTATATTTTGTGTTGTTACTTTAATGCTTCTTCAAGGTGACGCAATAACCTAAAGCATTCAGTCCACGAAATGATTAATTGCTCAAGTTTGTTCTCGCAATTGAGTAACTCATCATAACTTGAGCTTCATCATCAAATCGTCATCTATCAATCTTATTTCAACAAGAATGCTTTAGTTTATTTTCATTACATTTTTATTTATTCGGTTGATTATGATTATCATACAAGAGCATTCGACCCCAAAGAGTTTGAGTAACTTTTAAATCATCAAAACACTTGCTTGCTATCAACTGCACATTGACCATTGAGCCAGTCAAATCAAAATTATGCGAATGATGTCAACTAGAAAATCAATCTCTACTTTCTTATAATTTATCTCAATTTTAAATCATATTTTTATATCTTATTTTGTTTAATGGGTTAAAATGCAAATTTACTCATGAAATATTCTGTTAGGGGCATCGAACATCATAAATTTTTCTTAGATACAAAAGTACACATGAATTTTTTAAAATGGTGCAAAAATAATTTGACTACTAAGTCAACTAACATTGACTGTTTAATGAACATGTCAACAAAAAAATGGTACAAATATACACATAAACTTTTTGAAATGGTATAAAAATATATATGAAGTTTCCAATGACCGTGGCATTTTTGCATCATTTTGAAAATATTATATGTATTTTTGCACTATTTTCTTGTCCTACATATTTGCCGAACTGTCAATGTTAATGGACTTAATGGCCATGGCATTTTTCATCATTTTAAAAATTTCATATATATTTTTGTACTCGAAAAAAATATATGGTGCTAGACGCCCATGATGAAATATTTTATAGGTAGATCTACATCTTAAATCTTATTTAAATTGGACTTTGTAAGCGTGTCTTCTCGAGTATAAAACTTTTTAGTTTTAAATTATAGAATTTCATGAATTTTATGAAATTTCTATCGTCTCATTTAACACTCTTCTAACACCCCATATCTCTCTCTATATATGAAATTTTATAAAATCCATAAATTAAATTTTAGAGACAAAAAATTGTTCCAATTTAAACAAACTAAACTACAGGAACTAAATTTAAAATTGAGGTAAGCTTTATAGACCTATAAATTAATTTTTTTCCTTATCAATGTTTGGAGAAAATGAGATAGAGATATGATTATACGGTACGGTTTTTACTAATCTTTGCAGATAATTTTTCTTATTTCTTGAGCTCCATTATACCCCTCAGATCTTGAATATAAGCCATTTATAGGAGGAGGTTTTGGTCTTAAATGTAAGTTACTTGTAATATATCTAATGCTTATTTTTAATTATACTCTTATTTAATTCTTATTAAAAAAAGAGAAATAAAGGAAAGATCTATGAGAATGATTGATAAATGTAGAAAGAGGAAAAATTTTTAATGAGGGTAAATTAAATTTTTTTTGTTAATTTAATACATTTCTTGATATGCAAAAATATGTTATAAGTGACTTATATTAACAAGTAGAATAATATATACCAAATAGCTATGATGATTTAAAAAATAAATTAATTAGTTATAGGGCGCAGCATAAATATATGGTAATAATGAAAGTAATCAAACAAGTACAACAACCCACCAAAGAAAAGTCACTGGGCTTACCTTCCCCAATATGCCAACCCCTTTAGCCCTAAGACATAAGTTATGTGTGGGGGACCGCCGCCTTCTTTTCATTATTAGCATATAATTTCATCTTTTTTTAATTAACATTAAATAAATGATTAAAAGTAAAACAACCTGCTTCTGATTGCTTGCTTGCTTCCATTTTCAAAATACCTTCTACACAACCTCAATCTTGAACAGGTCCCATAAGTATCAAGTTGGTAACCCTTTCCTTTTCTGTCAGGTCAGGTTATATTATACATATTCAACAGCACAATTAATTATCAATCTGCCTAATAATATTATAGCTTAAATTAATGTTCAATTTTATATTCTCTGTTTTCTTACACATTGTTTTTTTTCCATTCTATACAATTTAAAAACACGCACACAAACATGTTAACATTGGACTTAAACATGAAACATCGTCCAAGCATATAGTGATCGACATTGCCACTGGAGAACTAATAGTTTTTCTACAAATCATTTGCTTTTTTCTAGTTGAAAACAAATTTTAATTTAATTTATATTGAATGATTTTATTTTGTATAAAAAATGAGAGAAAATTAATAATGACTTTCATAGTCTCGAATTTAAATTCGCATTAATACAAAAAAAAAAAGGGGCTTGCGGAAGAGTTATTCCTAATTGAGTATGATGAATCTAACTCAGTGAGATAACGATATGAAAACTGATCATATATACTCCTTTGGTTCTTAATGTAAGATCTATTTAATTAATTTTATTAGATTAAGAAAGTTAAGTAAGTTAGTTAATTATAAGAAATATAACATATTTTTTCTAAAACACCCTAATTATCTTTCTCAATATCTTCTCTTCTTTTCTACTTGATTATTGTTAATAAAGTATCCATAGGGGTAATTTAGTAAAAATTAATAAATATAAGAAATATGTCTTATATTTAAGACCAAAATTAACTTAACAATTAGGTCCTATATTAAGAACCAGAGAAGTATTTATGGGTTGGATGGAGAAGGTTTTTATTTTTTCCGGCTGAAAAATAGAAAAGATTGATAATTCCATTGAAAGTTTTACTTCATATGGTCGGCAAGAGAAGAAAATATTTGACTTTTTTTTTTAATTTAAGCTTGTTTAGAAATTATTTAATTAAAATCTAATTCTTATTGAGTTTGGAAAAATATTCAAAAGGAAAAGAAAATGAGAGTATACTAATAGGATTTGCATCTACCCATTATGCCAGATAGATATTCTATTCACATGAGTCTCAATTATCAAACACATAAATGTTTATAACTTAATACTACCTCCGGTCCTAATTATAAATAATTAGTATCCTCTTAATATTAATATAATGAAATAATAATTAATTACTTAAGTATAATTTAATAACGTGATTTATGTTTGATTATGTCTCTAAAATGGGAAAAAAATCCAAATTGGGTGTCACAAGCATGAGGCGATAATGAAATGTGACAAATCATTTTCTTATCAAATCTTAGTTACGCCCTCTTCTTTCCATGTCTCTTTATCAAAGCTTTTCCTCTTCCCTTTTTATATCCCTCACAGAAAACGCCTTCATTCGTCCTCCTCCTCCACCTCCTTCTTCTTCTTCTTCTGAATCTTAACAATCCAACGCCTCCCAACTCAAACGTCGTCCTCGTCTTCTTCAATGGAACCAACCATAAAAGCCCTATTCCCTCCTATTCTCTTTCTGTTTTTCTTCCTCAGTATCCATCCTTCTGTACAGAATCCGTCACCTTCCACCATCTCCGGCGACCGCCATCACCGAGCATTACGCAGACTCGAAACTCTCAAAGCTTCTCACGTCAGACAACTCAGTGCTTCGTCTCCTTCTCCGTCACCGTTGCCACCACCGGTAACCAACTGACGATATGTATATATATCGGCACTCTTTTATAAAATGTGATAACAATAAAATAATTGGCTTTTGTGTTGGTGTGAAGTCGGGTTCAAATGTTCCACGGGTATATCTAGCGACGTCGTACGGGGCGGATCCGACGGGGAAGGTGGACAGTACAGAAGCTCTTCTTGCGGCGATGGCGGATGCGGCGAAGAATAACAGTGAAGGGTTCTTGTTGGACGGCATTGCTAATCTTGGAGGCGCACAGCTCAATCTTCAGGGCGGGAACTACTTGATCAGCCGGCCTCTCCGGCTGCCGGTCGCCGGTGTCGGAAACTTCATGGTACGTTCTCCTCGTTCGTTTCACTCATTTTACAGCTCATAATTTCGCAAGCAACATAAGAAAGTTAAGAAAATTGCATTTCAGGACAAAAAGTTTGCAAGACTTTAATTAAATATTAAATAATTCAAAAAATAATTCCTCCCGAAAGCCTAAAAAAATAAAAAATAAAAAATATTTTTTCTAAAAAATAATTATAATTTAAAT